AATGGCACTCTATCTAGTAATAATTACTGCCTTTAAGTTTTCTTGGTTGATATTAAAATAGTTGTAATAGCTTCTTTTGGTTAATGTTTGCATGTATATCTTTTTCCATGCTTTTGTTTTCAATCTTTGTATGTTCTTATATTCAAGATGTATCTCTTAGAAGCAATACGTATATATTAAAATTTTTTGGGGGGAAATCTTTATATTTTAATTGGTACAGTAAGTCTGTTTACATTTAATGTAATTACTCACATTTAGATTTGAATCTATTCTTTTTGTGTGTGTGTGATAATTAAATCCACTCTTTTACTTTGTGCTTTCTATTTGTCTCACATGATCTATGTCATCTTTTATCTCATTTCTTGCCTTTTCTAGGATTATTTTCTGTTATTACATTTTCCCTTCTATTAATATGTTAATTTTTACCTTTTCTTACCATTCTGTAGAAGTTAACCTAGAGATTTTAACATGCATACTCGACTTATGAAATTCTATTAGAAAGTAGTAGTTTTTATCACTTCTCAGACAATGTGAGGACCATTGAATACGTGAATGAACTACATTTAAGATCTTCCCAACTTTGGTTTTCATATTTTAAGCTCTCTCTATATATTTAAAACACTGTGAAACATTATTGTTTTATTACAGTCAGTTTCATTTAGACTTGCCTAAATATATATCCTTTCCTTTGCACTTAATACCGTCCCCCCGCCACCTTTTTTTGTCTTTGAGCTTTCACTTTGTGTTATTTTCCGTTTCTGAAGAATATCCTTTAGCATTTTCCTTAGTACAGGTCTTGCTGGTAATGAATTTGTTCATTCTTGTTTATCTATTTTTATTTTTATTTCACCTTCATTTTTGAAGGATATTTTCACTGAATATAGTGTTCTAGGTCAGCAGACATTTCCTTTCAGCACATTGAAGATAATCAGTCCACTGTCTTGGGCTTCCATTGTTGCTGTTGAAAAGACTGCTGTCATTCTAACTGCCACTTATTTCAAGGTAACCTGTCTTTTTTCCCCTCTTGCTGTTTTTAGATTTTTCTATGTTGTTATTCTTAGTCTCATTTATTTAATGTTTCTTGTTATTGACTTTTATGATTTTAATTTAATTTATGGATATTCTTTGGAATCATTAAATCTGTAAGTTAGTGGCTTTTATCATTTTGGAAAAATTCTTATCCAGTCAAAAAAATTACCTTTATTCCATTCTTTTATCCTTCGCCTTCTGAAATTCTAATTAAACAGATATTAGACCTTCTCACATTATCTTCTCTGTTTCTTAACCTTTCTTCTGTGTTTTCTATCATCTTATCTCTTTCAGCTATATTTTGGATAATTTTTTTCTCATCTGTCTTCCAATATACTAATTCCTTTTTTTTATATTCTATCAGCTACCAAACACATGCATTGAGATTTTAGTTTTGATTATTTGCTTTTTTATTTCTAGAAGTTTTCTTTCTCTTTTTGAAAAATAATCTATATTTATTTTAGTTTATAGTATGAAATATTGATATTTTCATGTTTGTTGTCTATTCTTTAATCATTATAAGCATACTTGTTTTATATTTGTTTCTGGTAATTCCAATATTTGAAATCTATGTTGGGACTTTTTTCCTGCTTATTGTCATTCATGGTGCCTCATTTCCTTTGTGCCTGATTATCTTTGACTGTGTGCTTCTCATTACCCTTGAATAATTATTTATGTAGATTCACCCACAGCCTAGGATGAAGGTGTCTTTCTCCAGATAACTTTTTTTTGCTTTTACTTTTGCTGGGTATGTGTGCATCGTGTATGGGAAAAACACTCTTCTGCTTCTCCTTTACTCTCATGATATTGTCACACTCAGAACTCTTTACAACTCTACTGAGACCAGATGTGTGGGTTTTCCACACCAAGCAATTCTCTGACATCAGCTGAGTGTCCTACAATTCAATCCAATTCTGATTCTAAACAGAGTTAGTGCAGACCCTACAGGTTAAGTGCTCAGTCCCATAGGACTGCCTCTCTCCCGCTTTAGATGCCAATTGCAAGTCCAGGTTGTCTGTGTGCTTCTGACTGGCTATAAATCAGAGAACTCCCTCCTTGGGTTTGATTAATTTGCTAGTGTGACTCACAGCACTCAGGGAAACATTTTACTTACTAGAATACCAGTTTAATACAAAAGGATGTTAAAGGATATGAATGAACAGCCAGATGAAGCAATAGCGATAAGGCGAGGTCTGGAAGTGTTCTGGGCACAGGAGTGTCTGTTTTCATGGAGTTGAGTACATCTCCCTCCCAGCATGTTAGATGTGTTCAGTTACCTGGAAGCCCTCTGAACGCTGTACTTTTGGGATTTTTATGGAGGCTTCATCATGTAGACATGTTCAGTCATTAGTTCAACCTCCAGTCCCTCTCTCCTTCCCAGATGCTGGGGATGGGGCTGAAAGTTTCAATCTTCTAATCATGTCTTGGTCTTTCTGGTGACCATCTCCCATCCTGAAGCTATCCAGGAGCCCACCAAGAGTTGCCTCAAAAGAACAAAAGACATTTCTATCACCCAGGAAATTCCAAGGGATTTAGAAGCTCCATGTCAGGAACTGGGGTCAAAGACCAAATATTAGCACAAAAGATGCTCATGGGAGACAGCCTGGTGGTGTACTGGCTTTGCATGCTCCACTTTGGTGGCCCAGGGTTCATGGGTTCGGGTCCTGGGTGCGAACCTACACACTGCTCCTCAAGCCATGCTGTGGCAGTGTCCCACACATAAAATAGAGGAAGATTGGTACAGATGTTAGCGCAGGGACAATCTTCCTCAAGCAAAAAGAGAAAGATTGGTAACAGATGTTAGCTCAGGGCTAGTCTTCCTCTCCAAAAAAGAAAAAAAAAAAGTGAGAAGAGACCAAATATTAGAACAAAAGATGCTCGTGGGGGCTGGCCCTATTGGCATAGTAGTTAAGTTTGGCATGTTCCACTTTGGTGGCCTGGATTCACGGGTTCAGATCCTAGGTGTGGACCTACATCAGTTGTCAGCCATACTGTGGCAGTGACCCACATTTAAAATGGAGGAAGACTGGCACAGATGTTAGCTCTGGGCTAATCTTCATCAGGGAAAAAAAAAGGTTACTCATAGTGCTCTTATCACTTAGGAAATTACAAGGATTTTAAGAACTCTGTGCCAGGAACCACAGGCAGTGACCTATATATATACATACATACATATATATATATATATATATATATATACACACACACACACATACATATACATACATACATATATATACACACATACATATATATATACATATATATATATATATATATATGTATTTTTTTTTTCTGTTATTTCACACAGTGTTAATTGGAATCTGTCTTAAACTTAGTTCAAAGCTTAACATTCCCTGACCTACCCAGGCTACATGTTTGCAAATCTCTGCAGGTGCCCCAGTCAACCCAAAACTTCTCAGTGATAGTTTTTTTCTTTTCTTTTTTTCTCTCAATTCCTCCTTTCCACCCCTCCTTCTTCCTTCCTGTTCTTTATCTTCTTTTTTCTTTTCCTATTCTGCTATGATCTAAGACAATCTTGCCTGAATGCACTTGGTATTGGGATAGAGGGTGTGTAGTTCTAGATCAGCCTTAAGGGGTGTTTTTAGCCCTTTCAATCTCCAGCTTATTGTGGGAAGTGTCTCCTATAAAACTCCCCACATTTAATGGGCTCTGGGCCTGACTTATGGCTTTCCTTGCTGCCATTTAAACAAACTCAAGTGTGCTAGCGTTGGCAGATGCTCATGATGCAGTAATACTAGCTTTAGTCCTCAGTTTACCCCCAGAATTTAGCTTGATACTTTTTATAAGTTTCTTAATGCTTTTAGTATGGTGTTTTTCATATTCAGCATTTTTAGTAATGTTCAGTGGGAGAATTACTCTGAATAATTTAGTCTGACATTACCAGAAAACTTTGGTAATCTTTTTGGCATTATAGTCCAGTTTATAATTTCCCTTATCAGCTGAATCTAATTGGCTGTTTAAATCTGCATATCAAAATTTAAAATTTCAATTATTATATTTTTTTAGTTTTAGAAGCTTTATTTGGTACTTTTTCAAGTCTGCTTGGTCATTTTATCATCTGTTGTTCCTTAGTTATATTTTCAATATCTTCCTTTTATTTCTATGGGCATAAAGATGTTTTATATTCTTATCTAAGTATTCCAGTATCTGAGGTCTTTGCAGATCAGATTATGTTTTTGGCTGACTTTTTATTCTTTTATTCTTGATAGTTTATTTCTCATGTGTTTTATGAATTTTTTTAAAGAACTATGAACTCCTGTTAACTGGAACAGGAATTCTCTAACGTCTGTTAAATTAAGGTGTGTTTTTCCAGGGAGTATTTGCATTTGTGTTTGATGGATTTTTGAAGCACTACCACACCGAGATCATTTTTGGTTTTGTTTTTTTTCAGGCCACACAGGTAATATGAATTCTCCTCTAAACCTATCTGAATGCCCTTCTTGGGCATGAATTTTCTAGAGACCTTTTCTCCCTTACATTTATAGCTAATGCTTAGACTTACAAGTTTCCTGTTTCTTTGTATATGGTGGCTTTTTCTAGTTTTTCCTTTTACTGGACATATCACCCTTTGGGGTTTCTTCCTTTTTTCATGGATAATCTCCAATATGTTTTCTTATGCTGCATTGTCTCCAGGTTTTATCTCTTGTCCCTTATGCACAGAGACCTTCAGAACCCAAATTGGCAGTGGCGTGCATTAGCAGATTCCCCTAGGTAGCATTTACCTTCAGGACTCAGCTGTCTCGCTGGATTTGACCTTTTTCTTAATTTTTTAACCTTAGATTATTTCTCTTATTCTCCTACCACCTCAGTGTACGTTGAAAAGAATTTTTTTTTAACCCTTTATGCAACATTCTTAAGGATTTTGTCCTGAGAAGGCTCTTCAGCATATCTCATCTGCCCCTTGTTCTAATATTTTTCAAATGTTATTTTTAATGTTTCTTTTTTAGGGTTCAGTTTAGCTGCATTTAAAAGAAACAAGAGGAAACTAGAGCTGGCAGAAAGGGTGGAAACAGATTTCATTCAACTAAAGAAAAGAAGACAATCAAGCGAAAAGGTCAGGAAGTGTTTGAAATATTAATCACTAATGTATTGTAATGATAGCTTTAATCTACATTTAGATGTATAAGCTTTAGAGTAGTACTATCCAGTAGAAATATAATACCTGCCACGTATGTACTTTTTAAGCTTTAGAATAGTACTGTCCAGTAGAAATGTAATGCGTGCCACATATGTACTTTAAGTTTTCCAGTACCTACATTTAAAAAAGTAAAAAGAGGGGCTGGCTCCGTGGCTGAGTGGTTAAGTTCGCGCGCTCCGCTGCGGTGGCCCAGGGTTTGGATCCTGGGCGCGGACATAGCACTGCTTGTCAGGTCACGTTGAGGCGGCGTCCCACATCCCACAACTGGAAGGACCTGCAACTAAGATATACAACTATGTACAGGGCGGATTTGGGGAGATAAAGCAGAAAAAAAGATTGGCAACAGTTGTTAGCCCAGGTGCCAATCTTTAAGGAAAAAAAGAAAAAAAAAGGAAGATTGGCAACAGTTGTTAGCCCAGGTGCCAATCTTTAAAAATAAAAAAGTAAAAAGAAACTGAAATTAATTTTAATAATTATTTTATTTAAACCAGTGAATCTAACATATCACTTCAAAAATGTAATCAATGAAAACATTATTAGTGAACTATTTTACTTTCTTTTCTTTTGTATGAAGTCTTCAAAACCAGTGTGTATAGCACACTTATAGCACATCTCAATTGTGACACTAAATTTTCATTGGAAGTGTTTGGTTTATATTTATATTTCATAAAATTAACAGTTGAAAAAGTAGGTTTACGTAACAAGTTATTCCAAACATACTTAAGACTTTCCAATAATTGAATTGAATATCTATTTTAAAATTAAAATTTAATAAAATCAAAAACTCAGTTTCACTTGCCCTCACCAAGTGCTCAAAAGCTACACGTGGCTTATGGGCTCTGTTTCACTCTTTGCAACTCTGGATAGTGATTCTTAACATGGCCATTTTGGGGGTAGAGTGTGTTATAAGGAAATGTGTACATTGGATTCATGTAGGTTTTTTATATACTCTAATTACATGTCTCTGTTTCTCATTCTTATACATTTCTTTGTTTGCATTTTACACATTAGTATGCCATCATGAGTGGCATTGGGGGCATTTCCTAGGTGTTTTGGGGGATAGAAAGAGGTTGAAAACCACAGCATTCTTGCTCAATGTATGGCTTGGGGGTCTGTTAGCACACAGTTCATTATGGACATCTCACGTCACAGTCATTTGTCTATACTTTGGCATATAATTATTGTTCTTTATTGGTTAGTTTTCCTATAATTGCTTATATAAAGGTTTTTGCTTTTTATCATAGTTTTATATGTTTTACTCATATATAAATGCATAATAAATCGTCTTTGATATAGATGGGTATTTTCTCAGTATGTTGCCACGTAGGACACTTAATCAAATATTTTGGTCCAAACTTTTTGTTTTTCTGCCAGACAAGACTAGCAGTTTAGGAGGCAAATGAACAAATTAATAAGTAGATCTTGGTGAAGGTAGATAGTAGTGTGGTTCTGTATCTCAGGTTTCTTCATTCCATGTGATATGTGAATGAGCAAATTTAGGACTTTTGTCCTTTTAAAAATTTGTGATAAAATTTGCATACAGAGAAATTTAATCATTTTCATAAATGTGTACACTTGTGTAACCCATACACCTATCAATTTGTAGAACATCCAGTTCGTTTGTGCTTCCTTCCAGCCAATCTCCACCTTCTACCAGCAACCACTGCTCTGATTTGTATGGCCATAGATATTTTGTCTTGCTCTTAAACTTTACATAATTGGAATCATATGAAATGTACTCTTTGTGTTTGGTTTCTTTTACAATTTGTTTTTGAAACATTGTATTACTGGTTCATTCTTTTTTATTACTGAATAATATTCTCTAGTATGAATATATTGTAATTTGTCTAACTATTCTCCTGTTGATGGACATTTGGTTTGTTTCCAATTTTTTATTATTGTGAATGAAGCTGCTGTGAACATTCATGTACAGATTTTTTTTCATGGATATCAGTTTAGGATTTTTATGCATAGAAATATCAGTTGATCTCATAGAGAATGTCTTCAGCTGATCTTATTCAGAAGGTTCATTTTTTAATTCAGAAAATATTAATTAAGCAGCTACTCTTGGTATTGAGCTGGGTAGTAAGAAAACTGGTGAATAAGATGGAGGAGATTTATGCACTAATGAAACTTTACATTTTAGTGGATAGAAACAGAAACATGTAAGCATGTAATTAAGTAAGATAGTTACTGTATTTGGTAACTGTTATCAAGGAAAGGAAAAAGAAGATGATGTGATATAGAGTAACTTAAATGTGAGAGAGAAGGGAGACTCAAAGGAAGACTGTTTTAGTTAGGATGATTGACAGAGACCTCTCTGAGGATGCATAACATTTGAGGTGACATCTGAAAAATTAGAAATGAGTTTTATGAAGAGTCAGTGGAAGACTGTTCAGGCAGAATAGAACTGCATGTGCAGCGGCTCTAGTGGGGATTTGGCATGTTGGAGGAATGGGGAAGAGGGTCAGTGTGCCTAAGCAGAGTGGGAAAGAGGAGAATGGTATGATCTGAAGCTGGAGAGGTAGGTAGGTGCTAGCTTCTTTAGGATCTGGTAGACCATGGCAAGGAGTTTCAATTTTATTTCTTGAATAATGAGTAGCCATTGAAGAGTTAAAAGCAGAGAAGCAGTGCTGTCTCATTTACATTTTACAGAGTTCTCTTGGGTTGCTATGTGGAGAATGGATTGAAGGGAGAGGCAAGAACCGAAGCGAGGAGGCTAGTTAGGAAGTTATTACAGTTGGGAGATGATAATAACTTGCACTGTGGGCAATAGAGATGGAGATAGAGAGAAGCGAATGTATCTAGGATATATTTTGGGACTTCCTGGAAAGACAGGAATTGATGCCTTAGATATTGGTGAAGAAGAGAGAGGAATTAAAGGTTTTAGCTTTAGCGGGTGGATTCCCATTTACTGATGTGAGGAGGCCGAGAGAAGGTATGGCTTCATGGTGATAGAGTGGAAATCAAGAACTTTCTTAGGCCATATCCCCTTAATAGATTCAGATTAACCAGTGCTTTCCATTTTCACCAAAAAACATGTTACTTGATATCCACCACAGCACCCTAAACACCCAAAGCTAATAGACCATCTTTAGTTTGCCATGTTTCTCTGCTCCTTTCAGTTGAATTTCATGCCACCAAGAGCTGCCTTGTGCTCATTGTTTTTATCATTGTAATTACATAATTCATTAAATCATATAAGCTGATGAATATTGCATTAAAAAGAGAGTTGTCGGTTCAAAAACTGAGAGAATTGTTTGCTTGAAAACTAATTTGAAAAAGTAAAGTTGGTTTTTTTTTTTTAATTTTTATTTTTTTTGAGGAAGCTTAGCCCTGAGCTAACTACTGCTAGTCCTCCTCTGTTTGCTGAGGAAGCCTGGCCCTGAGCCAACATCTGTGCCCATCTTGCTGTACTTTATATGTGCGACGCCTACCACAGCATGGTGTGCTAAGTGGTGCCATGTCCGCACCCAGGATCTGAACCGGCGAACCTCGGGCTGCTAGAGAAGCAGAACATGTACACTTAACCACTGTGCCACCGGGTCAGCTCCCTAAAGTTGGTTTGTTAAAAATTGCTGTAGAATTACATATGCGCAAGCCAGCTCTAAAAGATTGAGAAAAGTCAAAAAATCCATAAACATTCTGCATTTAGAGTGCAGTGTTAATGTCTTTATGTTCTTGTTCTGTTTTAGATAAAATGAAACTTGAAATCATAGGACATTCAGTGCGTTATAGTTTATGAAATAAAGATGATATGGAACATTTATTTGTGGTCCCACATTCAAAGAAAAGGCTTTGGTCTTATATGAAAAGATTGGCTAATGAATGAACCTTTGTGTTTTAAATAAAATAAAATGTTTAAGGTAGGTGTCCTTTATTTATTTACTTATTTTAAAAAATGATTCTCTGCTTTATCCAGAGAATTTTCAACTTTTGAAAATTTCAACCAACCACTTATCCTAGTTAAGAGGATTTCCAAAAAAATACACTTGATAGGGCAGGAGGAAAGATTAACTGTGGAGTTGGTTATATGAGTTTGAAGCTTATAGGTAGGTTGGGAGGGAGATTCCCATTTGGAAATTATTGGTATTAAAAGGAATATAAATTCATATGGCTAGATGAGTTCACTTAGGAGTGAGAGTAGATAGAGATCTGAAAACTGAACCCTGAGCCAGTTCAACATGTGCAAGTTGGAAGGATGAGAAACCAGCAAAGGAGAAAACGGAGCAGCCAGTGAGGCAGAGCTATCACCAGGACAACGTCTAGGAAGCCGAGAGGGAGTGTTTTAGTCAGTCATCACTTGGGTTAAGTGCTGCGGAGTAAACAGCTAAGAGGACAGAGGACTGGCTGTTGGATTTAGGACCTGGAGCCTGTGTACCTGGATTAGGACAGTTTCTGTGACATAGTGGATTGCAGACCATTGTGGAGTGGGTTGATCAGGGAGAACAAGGGTAGAGATAACTTTTGAGAAGTTTTGCCATGGAGTGGTGAAAGAGAGATGTGAGGTCAGGAGAGGTACCATTTTCAGTTAGGTTCTGTGAATTCAGTGAGTAATTTAACATATGGAGTCTCAGCTTCCTTATTTTTAAATGAAAACAGTGATATTCTGCTCTTGAGGCAGGGCTGAGGAACAAATGGATATTCAGGTGCTTTATGACTATCATTGATGTAGTCAGACACCTTAGTCTTTGCTATTGTGACTTTCATCTTTAAAGTTTCTCAGCCTAAAAAGAGAAAACTGCCGCCCAAGTTAGTTACCCTGGGTGGAAGCTTACAATGGAGAAAGGGAGGGTGGTAGGATAGGAAGGTAGTGGTAGGTGGAAAGGTTGAATTCAGGCATGCTTCAAATGGAGTATTTTAGACATCTTAAATGGCAGGAAAATACTTTTAACATTCAGTACATATGAACTTTA